CTTATCAAATTCAAAGACAGAGCTCTTAGAAGAATTTACAAGAGAAACTTTCAACACAATGTTTGCTTCTGCCGTAATAATCCCATTCAATTAGAGTATCTCTCCCTTTCCCAATTTTCACATGGTACCGGTATTTGGATGAGATCCAATACCTTCCAATAGGCACTGGCCAAAGTTTTCATTCATTCCTCTTTCCTGCTTTCAGAGATTCATTTCTGCTAGTACAACATCTCTTTGACTTCATACTGATTATCTTATATTATCCAGAATTCTACTGCAGTAATTCAGGCAGACCTTGCTTTTAGCTCAAACCACTATTTCCAACATTGAAGGTGTCAATAACATGAGTAATCAGAAGGAAGATTTGTCAGAGACATCTACGTGGAGCTTGTTCAATTTTACTTGTGTAAATTTTCCCTTTTTTTTAATTGAAGGTAGATCATAAACAAGACAAGGGGTTCCTCATATAACATCATACTGGAGTGCAGTTCAGTCTGAACTACTTACACACACAATTTCAACCTTTAAGATTAGCATTAGCAAATTCCAAGATCAGAAAGAATCATTGCAAGACTCTCATGTTTGATGTGTCTCAGTGTGTGTAACGTGGGCCATTGGAGAGGGGGGGGAGGGGGGGACAGGTGAGGGCTTTTAAAAAAAGGGGATGAGAAAAGGACTTGAATTTCCCTCTTAGGATACACCTTACTTTTGGATTGTGTTCTCTCCCTCACAATCTACTCAAGTGTTTCCTTCATTGGTTTGAAAAACAAGCACCCCAATAAGAAATACAAATCTCTCAGCCAAATGAATTATATTTCATCTACAAACAATAATACAGCTAAGATTAAAGTACTCAAGTCAGTAATTTTTACTTCTATCTGTAATGATGTTGGTTTCTGTACAATTTCACTGGCACCTTCTATCTCCCACCAGCCCAGGTACTGGGCAACTCTGCCCACCAACGGGCAGCTACATTGGAAGACAAGCTTAGCGTTCTTTAGATTCTGCTTGATTTTAAAGCGTCGGTCTCCACGGTTTGCACCCACTTCATTGATCCCTAGGTCACACCCTCCCCAGGTCACACACTTGGGTGCTACTCAGGTTCGCATATTTACTACAGCTAATCAGTCGAAACTGACCAGCATTAGAAAAAACCTGACTACTCAGTAAATTAACAAATGAACCTTCTAGAAAAGAAAGTAATTGAGTTCTGATTGATGAAAGTTTTGGTATGTTATAATGAATCTCAATTGACTGGCATCACAGATCAATAAGAAATTCCTAAAAGAAAGCGAGCATATAATCAAAAAATAAAATTCCCTTAAAAAAAGCAAGCATACGATTCTGAGTTATTCTCCTTCCCTTCTAAGGTCAGTTAAAAGGAAAATTTACAAGGAGACTGAAATTCACTCTCAGGACGGACTGGTTAAAGCGATTAACCAAAACGAAAAGAATAAAAGGAAGAACAAAAAGTAACCTTTTCTTCTTGGAGAGCAGTTTGTTCTCGTTAATCTTACGGCCTCCGCCTTCAGTAGTGTTGCTGGCACCTTCCTTCCATTTATCAGGAACAATCACCTTGGACAACTTCTTCTCACCTGAAAATACAAATGAAACCCTAGGTCATAATCAATTGCTCATAAATTGCTTGTAATGAACAATTTGTGAATGAATAGGGGAATTCGGACTTACACTTATCGCAAACCATAGTTGCAGTTGGCGAGCTTGATTCAAATTGCGACAGAGAAAGAGAGTTTTTCTACTCCGGCCAAGAAGGAAATAAATTGATGAGGGTTGAATAATATATGCGAAGACGGGTCGGGTCGGTGGAGATCAGAGGAAAATATATGGAGTTGCGCGTAAGAGCCGCTTGATTAAATACTTGAGAGGTGTATTGTTATTTATTTTTTTATATTAAAAAAATGTTAAAATTATTCTTTGTTATATTTTGAGATATAAAAAAAACGTCGTTATTTCAATAGATCACAAATATCCTTCAAGTTAATATCCAAAAATTTTAATGATATGATAAACCACGTGGACTACTCCCTCCACCTGAGCTGCCAACAAGAATTCCCATTAACCCATACTTACTAACCCATCAATTTATCTCCAATGGTGATTGAGATTGGGATATTCTTAATTTTCCTTATTCAATTTTTTTAAGACGGGGATTAAACAATTTAGCTAACTTGTTTTGATTTTAGAGGTGTAATGTTTGACTTTTTTTATGCAATTAAATTATCACTTATTGAATTTATGAAGGAAAAAAAGAGTTCTGGTGATGGTAAGGGTACAATGAATAATGAGGGGAATTTAATATAACTGGATGGATGAATTGATGGGTAAGTAAGCATGGGTTAGTGGGAATCCTAGTTGGCAACTTAGGTGGAGGGAATAGTCCACGTGGCTTGTCACTTTATTAAAAGTTGGGGTGTTAATTTGGAGGGTATTTGTGGTATTTTGAAATAACGGCGGAGGTACTTTTGATCTCAAAATATAACGAAAAGTATAAGTGATCTATTTCACATAGTTTAGGGGCAATTTTGATTCTTTTGCGTTTTTTATGTAAGATAAATATTGAAAATACTCGTAAACTTATCGTAAATTATTAATTATTTTAATAAAAAATTGGGTAAATATTTTAGATTGTAACACGTGTCCCGTTGCTAGTAAAAAATGTATATATGCTCCAAAATTTTGACGGTAAGGGCATCAACATCCTAAAAGTACAACGAAGGGTATTTACATATCATTTACGATAGTTCGGGGGTATATTTGTCCTTTTTCCCTTAACAAAATATAGAAGATTTTTTATCATGTGGTCCTAAATTAAAGTTATATCAAATGTACAAAATTGTCCTTTGATCTTACGGCCTTAAACATGCCACATGGAAAGTTGTTACTAAAAAAAAAAGAGGTCTTTTTTCGAAAACAGACTAAAAAATAAAGGAGGTCATTCTTTTTTAAACAAAGAAAGTAACAAGTAATTTATGTCAAGTTCAGGATTATTTCAACATTTTTATTATTTGGTAAATGTTAAACTATATTTGAGATATATTTAAAAATTGAAAATTTACACCCTCAATATTTTAAAATTAACTTTACACTTAGTTTACTTTGATCTCCTCGAGCCAAGGATATATAGGAAGTTGGTTTGCTCCTAAGGAAAAAAAAAGTAAGAGACACTTATATTTTATTCTTTCAAACTTTACTTTGTGAATTATATATACAGTGGCGAACTATACGTGAGTTCCAGAGGGATTGTGACAAGAAATTATATTGTATATACACAATAAATTTTTGGTATTTTTTAGATACATATATTTTGAACTCTCTTAATAACAAAGAGAAATTGACGGTGCTGTGACAAGTCCCCTCAAAAAAATTTAAAGTTTATTTACTCCTGAGTTCGTCGCTGGATATATTTTTATTATTGTATTATAAAATTCTGCACCCACATCCTATTGGATATATCCACAATTATATATATATATATATATATATATATATATATATATATATATATATATATATATAT